CTCTTGGGGGGAAACTGGCTTCAGGCTCAGCGCTGGGCTGAGTTACAGCATCAAGGTAAACAGCCAGGAAATGCAAACCAGGGGGAGTTTTCCTTCCCTCCTGCGCACGTTGCCTGACAAACCAGCAACGTAGTCCGTTAAGCTGACGGCAGGAGTCGTTGTTTATAATAATACATTCACTAAGCAAGTCACAAAGAAAGGTTTAACAACACGACAGTGTTAGTCAAACACACACAAAAAGGAGAAATGCAAATCCCTTCTGTGCATTTTAATTCCTTCATCTGTTATTCTTCTTGCCTGGCTTTTCTGAAGCCTTCGCTTCCCTGTTAAATTTACTTTCCTGTCCTTTTTTTTCTTAACTACTCACATTCCCTGAAAGCCTCTGCGTACTAATCTACACATAATAAATATAAAATATTTTACATTTAACTTAGTCACGGACAATCCTTATCTTTTTTAAGCCTAAGATCTAGGTTTTGGGATTTGGTATCGTGAGGTGATCTGCCAAAGTTGCCAAAAAAGGTTAAAAACACCGGAATGAAAACAAGACCGTGAAGAGCCCCAAACAAAATAACAAGGAACATAATCTTGAAAAATGTCCTAAAGATGTAGGCTTTTGCTGCGGCCAGGACAACTACTCCTAATATAGTAGAAATTGCACCTTGTAAGACTGGGTAACCCAGCAGGGACAGAGCTTCGACTGCCCTTTTATTGGCTGACGACTCTTCACTCGTAACAAAGGCATAGGAAATGTGAGCAGAAAAATCTACTGAAAACCCTATACAAATGACCAGGTTGATCATGGATATGGAATCCAGATTGACATTCCAAAACGTCATGAAACCGGCAACACCGACTATAACAGACGCTATAGCGAAAGTCACCCACAAGCAACACAAGGGGTTGGGAATCAGCAAAAGGGAGACGACGAGCATTGCCCCGGCAGCCACGATAATGTTCTGAATGGTGTTCTGCACTATGACCAGGTACTGATCGTAGTAGATGAACGCCGGGTGGTACACCATTAATGGAACATGGCACTGCTTGGCTGCCTCTCGTAACTGATTGAGAAGGTTCTTCTCATCAATGGCTGAGGTCACGTTCACCGTCTGGATGAAGACACGTGAAGCTTTTATTTCATCCTGAGTCTTGTTTATGTCCCACGCAAAAGTGGGAGCAACGCTGAAGAGTGTAGATAGGTTGTCAATGAAGACAGCCTTATTGTTTATATTTATCGAACTATTTCTGGCAAGCTCTATATATGCTCTCAGCCATGACTCTGAGAGGTTCTTATCTACGTAAGAATTGTCCTCTAATTTCTGTGTGCAGTTCTCAATGCTGTGACGAACAGTCTCATTCCAGTACTCTACGCTCTTAGTAATGACCACCATGACCCTGGGTCCATACTCTGAGAAGTATTTGTCCTCGTCGTCATAGTACGGAA